AAATGGTTGTGTCTTCATTGGTTTTGGATTCTTGAAAGACTTTTCTATCTAGGTTTCTTTCTGTCTTTTGTTTCTTGCAAATGATCAAAGGTGTTATATTTTGGATAGCAAAGTTATCTTCCTTTCGATTGACTTCTTCAATACAGCATGTAACATCTTTTTCTTCTTGTACCCAAAAAACTAACCACTCATTTCCATTGATAAACTCTTTTCGTAAAAGGTTTCTTTTTTCCTGTGGAAGTTTAAAAATGTTGCTTAGATATATCTTTGTCCCATTTTCTGTTTCTCCTAGAATATTGACCGTCATTGCATCTAATCTATAATTTCCTTTCTTTTTTATAAAGTAAGGATTTGTTGGTGACACTATGTCTCTATTTCTATTCGTGATAAACCACAATAGATTATTATTAATCTGCATATATATAAAAATATATAGTTTATATGAGATAATTAATGTAATGCTAAAGGATTTCATTATCCATCAAATATTAAGTTAATTCTTAATAAAAGCTCACATTTAATACTAGTTGTAGTTAAATTTTTTTTTAAAAAAAAATCAATAATATATTAAGGTAAGTCAATTGTAATATTATAAGATTATTGTAATATTGATTTATTTTTATTCCTCAATAAAAATAAAATAGATCAATATATTTATAAATTTAAAAAGAAAACCAATTGAATTTGATTATTTGGATTAATCAAACAAATTTATCTCATCATTTTGATTTATTAAAAAATTTATGATTATTTTGACTTATTAATAAAATTCTGTTTTGATTCTTGTTAAATTAAAGATAATTATTTTAATAAATATTTAGTATACAATATAACTGATATATTATTTTTTAGATTTAATAAATAATATTGAACTTTTATAACAGTATGCAATTACTGTATATGTCAAAAAAAAAAACTTCATTTGAATTATTCTACGTTTTTATTCGACAATAAAATTTATTACACTCAACCTCAACCAATAATTTATAGTAATAATACGCGAAATCTATTGGACTGCCTAGTTTAGTAATAATAACATACATGGTATACCAATTTTAATGTGAATTAATACTTATCATTGATGTCGACTGGCGTGTCTTTGATTTTTTTAACTCTCATTGATCAGCGGTCCTTAGTTTATGAAAAAAATATTTTATTAAGAAAAAAGTTCGACTTGCACATTAGAAAGCACAAACCTTTATGACAACAATTTAAATTATTTCTATCCTCCTAGATGCACAACAATTAGAATGTGGCAGTTGATTATTACTGTATATGATAAACATTGTCACAACATTATATGATCCAACCAAACTAAAAAGTAAAATGTAAAAATGAGAAATAAAATTGAAGAAATTATATATATATATCAGTAAATTACACTCGTGGTTGAAAAAGAGTGTCATGAATTCATAACTACGATACATCTAAAGTTACAGAAACCCCTTCCTTAGTAAATTTAATAATCCATCAAAAGATGAAAAATACACCTCGTCGGAAATATATATTATAAAACGCCAGCCACTAATAGAAGCGAATGTTCACCTGTAAAAACTGCGTATCGAAACGATGTAGCATTGAAAATGGTCGAGGGACAAATATATTCACACAATCGGGGCGGAACAAATGAAAAGACGAAGAATTCACCAAAAAGCATAAAAGCCTTGTCAATCTTAAACCAATCCTTCCTGTCATAAAATCAACTGGTTACTAATAATCTAACAACATCCTCCGCTGGATGGTTGAGGTACTGATGTGCCTGTGCCTGGACCCACTTTAAGGGTTTGACTGGTGGTTCCGGGGGAAACAGTGGTCGTACCCATCCTATCATCGTGGAATATGGTCACACCGTTAATATCGTCGCGCACCGGATTACACGTGATGATGTAAGGGAAAAAATAACGAACCTGTCTTTAATTTGTTTTGCCATTGTCAAGAAGGCTTGCTCCACATTCGTTGCATTCTTGGCAGATGTTTCCAAGAAAGGGATATTCAATTGATCAGCAAATTCCTGGGGGAAAATTTGAACGTCAATGTCGTAAACAGGTTCGTGAAAAGTGAAAGAAGTTCAATGGTTAACACATACCTTTGCAACTGTATACTCTACTACCTTTTTATTCTGCAAATCGCTCTTGTTTCCTACCAACAATTTGTTGACACCTTCGCAAGCGTAGCGATCAATTTCTTGAAGCCACTGCTTCACATTAGTGAAGGTATCCTGATCGGTGACATCGTAGACCACAATGATACCGTGGGCTCCGCGGTAATAAGAAGAAGTAATCGTTCGAAATCGTTCTTGACCTGCGGTATCCCACTAAATAAGAACGAAAGAAATACACACATATATATGTATATATATTCAGTAAAGACGATTAGAAGACAACGAAGGAACCTCGGAAGCATCCTCACAATTTGTAGCTTCACAGTTTTGCCTTCAAGTTCGATGGTACGAATTTTCTAAAAGGGAGAAGACGGACATAGTTAAAATTATGGGAAATTGACAATGCATGGATCGCGACACGTAGAAACTCGGGATGCAAGGACACTTACAAAGTCTACACCGATGGTGCTAATATAGCTCTCCGTGTACGTGTCGTCGGCGAATCGGAGAAGCAAACAAGACTTGCCAACACCGGAATCACCGATCAAAAGGAGTTTAAAAAGATAATCACTAGAGATAAAGATTTTGTTGCGTCAGTTTTTTTTCTAATGTGTAAGTGGGATTTGATTCCGAGTCACTAGTTACAGCACAACTATGTAGACAAGTTTCTTGTTTATTGCGTGGCGCAGGAAACTATGGATGATGAAAGGTGGAAACCGCGATATATATTCTAAAGCCACAGAGTATATTATAATTTAAAGATTTGCCATCACTAGTAGAGTGCACCAGTCATAATCAACAAGTTCCACCGAGTCTAGCTTTAACCGCCAAAGTTATGGCAAATTGAAACCCAAAGGTCACCCTTAAAATCTTTTAAGAGTACAATACTTCCGGAAGCAAAGTAGTTTTCAGGTCCTCAACTTCAAGTAAAATTTTCCTACTTACTACTCTGGACTCATGCTCATTGCTTAAGGTTATGGAAGAAAAAAAAGAAACAAGAAAGCAGAGGGGTTTCGTGAAAAACGGAAAACAATCAGACAAACAAGTAAATGGAGATTGGAAGGGGACCAGAAAGAAACGACTTTTTTGCCAGATGATACGTAAGTCAATTGTGACGATAACTAGATACTAAATTTACCATATACGTATGCACTGAAACGGTCTATCAACCCCCAAATTCTGAAATTGCACAGTATATAAGGGATGTCTGTACGTATGTGAGTGCGTGATTAGATATGACGTGTGGCGGAGACCACTAAAGCGAAGCCGCTTCATGTGATTTACAGGATCCTCCCTTTAAATCATTGTGCCGTAACCATTACCTGTTGTTTGATTGACTTTTCGCGCTTTTCCTGATTTGTGCGTTTTCGTCCGTGTTTTGCCGGATGGATCTTGGATTATTTTCGAGCCCGTCTCTTTCACATTATGCGGGATTTTGAAAATTTCGAGTCCGCGCGTTCCCAATTTAGCAGCCTCCGCAGCTTTGCCACGCGATTAATAATATTTAAGCAAGACGTATGTGCGTATGTAATTATATGACTTCATATTTGCATTACCCTCAAGTGATCATGTGATTATAAAAATTTCATATGAACGTGTAACTTTTCTCGTTTTTTCCACCAAAGGTCAAGATGCCGTTGTCCGACCCGGTCAAGAGAAATTTCATTCGCGCCGGCAACATATTGTCACTCCTGCTTCTCTTTGTCGCCAACGCGATTTCTCTAAAATCAGATCCTTCCTTTGTTGACATCTATTATGCACATATAACATACTTTTCTCCCTCCTTTGTTTTTCTCGCAACATTTTGGGTTGCGCTCTATGTGCTATTGTTTGGTTTCGTCTTTTACGTGCAATTCAGCAACGCCTTCATCATACAGCGTCTCGTGACGAACACGATCGGGAGCCTGCTTATCATAAGCAATCTTCTAATGTGTGGCTGGCTATTCTTTTGGGTGAGTCGAAGGATTTTCGCGGTTGCCACATTCGAAAAAATTACTAACGGCAATTTTACGCGAATTCACTTGCGCACTTTCGATTAGACGTTGGAAAATTTCGTCATGAGTGAATTGTTTATGTTCCTTGGTTTGTTGGTTACCCACAGGCTCCACCATAACATGATCGTTCGCTTTTCGCCCGCGTCCTATCCCTCTTGTCAGGTCACCAAGATTTTCACATTGGTCAATACTCCGTTGTCCATGTACGCCGCTTTTACCCTAGCGGGCGTCGCGTACAACGGTTTCATCGTGTTCACCAGCGACGACGAAATTTTTGCCTTTGTGGCTATCGCGTGCGCTTGGCTCATTGCGGTCGTCGGGTTGGCGTGGACTATGACCGGCATCTTCAGTGGGGGCAGAAGGGACGGTGTTGCAAGCGCTGCGATCGCATGGTGGGTAACCAGCCGACTTATATTTGAACGTTTGGTTTCATTAAGACATATCGATATTTTTCTTTTGACGGACACCTTAGGGTCCTACTCGGGGTTGCAGTCCAACAGCAAGGAATGAATTACCTGTCTATTCAATGCATGGTGCTTTCGGTCATGCTGATCGTGATCATACTCGCGACCTGGATTCATTACGGCGGGAGTTTGTCGGAAGCGATAAGGTCTCGACGCAACATCACTGTTGAACAGTATGAGTCATTGTCACAAGAGGAAGAAGAAAACGTTTGATCACTTGGACACTGATTCCAAGTCGAATTTTTTTATTCTTCCGAACTTGATGTTTTACTGATTAGCACAAAAGAAGAAATGTTGTAGTTGAAGGAGGATTTTATCTGTTTGCTTGCCTGACTGTCCAATGAATCGAAAAAACTTTACCCGATATGCCATCTACGTGACAATAATTTGACTTGCGCTTTCGTGGAACACGAAATCACGATTACCAGTTAGGTGATTCATTGTACATAGATTATACAATTCGTTAATTGTCATAAAAGAATACATAATAATAGTAACGATCATGAATTCCTTCTTCAATGTGTACTCATCAACATGCAATCCTCCCAACATTCCAAAGTCTAGTACGTGTGATTGAAAATTACAACGTTATTTTAATCTATAATATAATGTGTATATAAATAAATAATAAAAATAGTGATGCATGAGATATATGTAGGCGTCTATGTGAAATGATATTTATTAGTGGCCTAAGATGATGATGTGGCCACGGGCACCCCAGAAACATTAAGACCTTTCGGCACCACCCCAAACTTGTAGTCCAAATCCTAGTTTGAAAGGTCAGGGAGAGATCATCAGTACAATCTCTCGGGCGGGATGGGTGAAAATTAAGATGGATAGAGGAAGTGAGGCGGGTACATACCAATAAAATCTTTAATGCATTCCTGCTTTTCAAGTGACCGAGATCTCCAGTCTCCGTTGCGGTAATCTTTGCAACCTTGTCTTCTGCGCGATTCCACGGGAACCATCTTTGCAGCAATTCGTAAACCATCAGGGTGGTACCGAATTGCGGCGAAGACCTAAAAATACGAGCCGGTCCGCCCTTAAAGAATGCTTTGAACCCCTCCTCTTTAAATATCTTTTTAGCGGCGTCAGCTATACCATTATACGCGGTTTGACCTTCACGCGCCTCCACCTGTAGTCTAGTTTTAATCACATCGGCCGGCGTTGTGAGATACGCCGCCGGCATCCCGGCCGCCGCACCTGCAAACAACAATTCCCCTATACCCAATTTTTTATCTGGCCCTTCGCCAAACACATCCTTCTTTATGTGCGAGTACGAGGAAAAATATATGGCGGAGAATGGTATGTCACGAAGTAAGCACGCGTTTGCCCCTTTGTAAAGACCGAAGAGACCAAGGTTCTTCACGATTGCAATCGCGGAACGACGTTCCGCCAATTCACCTTGCACTTGAAGACGAATCTTCACGATTTCCAGTGGATTGGTGAATATCTAAAAAAGCCGAATCACAAATTAGATCTAGTGTGGAAAACAATGATCATAGGTAGTTAGAATTCGTAAGAAGACTGATACGTACCACTTGACAACCACCCGCCATACCACCTGCAAACACCTCAGAAACCAATGTGATTTCACCGGTCTCCTTATTCCTCAGGCGAGATCGCGCGAAATCATTGACAGTCAATTTAATAGCCTTCTCCGGCGCCACACCCTAAACGAGAGGTACGTCGGGTCATCGGGATGAGATAGACTCGGTCAGTGTAGCACTATCACGCAGAGAAAAAACAAAAGAAGAGAAACTAGATAACCGTTCGAAGATCGGAATAAATCTACTCACCACCAGCTGAGGGCCAAGACCGCTGTAGAGTCCAAGTATACCTTCGTTCTTTACAACCTTTCGAAAGCAATCCACACTATTTCGATACAGCAATTCGCCAACCACCTTCGACCTCTGATTCTGCATACGCGTCTTCACCAGATCAATGGGGTACACGACGGTCGCACCCACAGCTCCGGCGATCGCGCCCAGGACGAACGAGTAGACCTGATGCAGGATCTCCCATCCAAGTCCAGTACGACCTTTTACTGGTACATCGGCCGCCGGCTTTAATTCTGACTGCTTCTTCCATTTGGGATCCCATAGTTGAGCGAAATCGCGTCTCGATGATCTTCCCGAGGAATTCTCCAATCCGGCAAAGTGAAATATGATGTCGGCCTCCAATGGGGTGAACGATGAGAATCTCGTCTCCTTCGCCGCCGTGTTGAGAAAGTCGTTCCTGGTGATCTTCTTATCGGCGCTATCCGAAATGGCCTTTGAAACAATCCTCTCTACCATATCCATCTGTCTTATGACATTGTGAAAGGCCGCAACCTTCGCGTAGCTTATCTTGTTTCCAGTGGATTCGTCACATAAAGTCGACAGGTTCTCAACGACATAATCCGAAAGCTTATGCCTGGCTACGGAAAGGATGATCCTTTTGAAATCATCAGGAGAGATGTACCCAGAGCCCTCTTTATCATAGTACTTAAACTCCTGGCGTAGTCGTTCCTCCTGTAATCCTTTCAATAGTTGAGTGAATTCCTCGTAAGTAAGTTCGTTTTTTTTTCCCGGATTCCGACCGACATACAACTTCAACAGCTCACAATCGAAGTCGAACGGAACACTGTCGGGTGCACTGTTTGATATCAAAATCGTCTTAAACTGATCCAAGGTGATTTTCCCAGTCCCACCAATGTCAAATAGTCTGAAAGCGATTTCATATTCTACATCAGGTTTTGAAAGTAAATTCTCGAATACCACAAAATCTTGAAGGGATATTAAACCTTTTTTACTATTATCCGCCAATTTAAATAAGATACCATATTGTTCTTTCTCAATCCTTTTCCAATCCTCCCCAGGAGCTATGGCCGAAATAAAATCGTCTTGATTCATGTACTTTTGTCCCTCGACCTCCACCGAGGCGTACTTCTCGAATACTTTTTTTTGTTTCTTGAACAAATTCTCGGCGATGGTCAACCCGTAGCGCTCGAACGCGGAGGACGCCGAGGGGACGGGCAAGCTGCCACCTTGTTCTGAATTTTTCAAACTTCCCTTTTGCGACATTGTGGGAAGGGAGAGGGGTTCTAAGCAGGTTTGCTGTTGGAAAAAAATTTTTTTTTTTTTTTTTTTTTTCTTTTTTTTTTTTTTCTTTATGTTCGAAAAGGAATATTTATATGGCACATATGTACATACGTGCTGTAGGACCGGATCAGTGTGTAACATGAACCTCTTGTTTACTCAAATGTCAAATGCAAGGCAATGTGATAAAGCTCATGATGCAATCCATCCGTATGCAGAAGTTCGACAAAGGAGCATTTCCCTCTTCATGAATTTGGAAATAAAAGATGCGTACGTACGGTACGCGCGTGTTTTTTTATGATACTATAAATAAACTATAAGGCGTTTCATCTAACGGAAAATTACCGATGGTGTAACTAAAGCATTTTATTATATGTACATATAAATACAGACGCATCAAATATCGATACACCTGGAGTCACGAACGAATTTTTTAATTACGCATTCTTGAATTAATCATTCATTCGAGGTTTTTAGAATAAGCAAAGGTTTGTTGTTGCTCAGACGTCTGTCAGCCCCGGGCAACCTTTGAACACCCCAACATTCCAATACAGCAAGTCCGTCAAAAGCCTGGTCGCATTCATTGTGAATAATGGAAAGAATAATTTCGTCAAAAAAAAAAAAAAAAAAAAAAAAAAAAAAAAACGAAAAAAGAAAGATTCATTTCATCTTACCATACTGATCCGCCGAGACCTTCCCAAAGTGACCAGGGCCTGTCGGGAAGTCGAAATTCATTCTTGCGAGTTCTTTCCTCCCACTGAGTGCATACTTCGGCATATTCCAACGCCCATTGTAAATATTTGGGATCTTCGGTGAGTTTATATACCGAGAGAAATGTGTATGCGTTACCGGAAACACCGTGACAAAGACCAACTCCTTTACGAATCATTCCGTGACAATAAACATACTCTGCAATTTCCATTGCGAGATTTATGTACCTGACATGAATGAATGAAGGATGATCAGGAATGAATTATTCGCGTGCGCGGGGCCAACGAAAAAAAATTTTATTACTTTTCTTCCTTATAATGTTGATAAGCTTTACACGCCAGAAAACACATTCCGGGGGCTCCGTGACAAAATTGCACCAAACTCTTATCGCGTTCATCATCGACAGAGACGGGCCAATTTCCGTTGGCAGAACGACAATTAAATAATACGAAATCCACGGTGTCTCTGATTCGTTTCTCATCATCGCGACAATCTTCTGGACGGGCCAACAATATGGAGAGGATTCCGGCCATTCCATGGGCCGCACCAAGGTACGGTTTACCATGGAACAACCATAGTAATGGAATCTTTCTGTGAGCAAAACTTTTAGCGGTCCTAACACCATCCTCAATGATCGTTTCAAATATGGATGAGGCCAGAGGTTTTACATGAGGTTCTTCTAACGGACCGAATGTGCCGGAGAGGAACTTTTGAGCGTAAAGAAATCCGGCACGACCATATAACAATTCGCTTGGCGTGGATGCCGAGAAACATGCGTGTGAAAAATGTGATCGAATTAATCCCACGTAGCGACGAGACGATTCTTGATCTCCCTTATGCTGCTTGACTGATATAATAGGTTTTCCGGTGAATTTTAAAGAATAATGGGAGAAAGGGAAACGATAGTACCAACATACCATAAGCGGCAACTGCGTATAACCCAACTGCGGAACACAAGAAGCCACATTCGTGTTCAACAATCGAAGGCGATATTTTATGTTTAGATGTATATGACGAGATGGCACCGTCGATATATTGATCCGCAATAGTTAACGCATTTTTTGACCCGATCATGAATCCTATGAAATGTTATGAAAGTCAAATCGAACAGCCAAATAGCATTAAATGAAATTGAAATTAGAAATTTATGTACCAGGATCACGTTCGTGAATCCTCATGAATAAAAGCGCCAATCCGGCTTTGCCTGATTGTAAAAAGAAAGAGAAAAAGGAGGTCATTACGAGATTAGGATTTTAATGAAAAACGTGTAAAAGTAAACCCACCAACATAAACGTCCCAAAGTTTGTAATTGTGATCATCGGGCGGCACTTCTTTAAGAATCCTGGCAGAATCTCGCAGAAAAGAATCACGTAGTTTCTCTTTGATATCTGATGTGATAATCTCATTAGGAAAAGAATTATCGCCGCTCTCTTGAGGGGAATCTGGAGATTCCATTTTTAATGTTGAGGATAAAGTTATTTTTTTTAGGCAGCGGAAGATAAACGGGTTTTTTTTTCCTTATAAACTTATACCTGTCCTGTGATTACGTAACTGTAATGCTTGGATAATACATATTTGTGATGTCAAGATTTGGTAATAAATAATCTTTACGGGAAAGGTTCAAATCTTTGGGAAGATTTCTTAACCCAAGAATTTGAGATTTCTCAGGATAATTCACATCATTACTATTTATGTGCGATCCCTAATTACATAACATTTGGCAATCAATTGTAAAATTGATGACTCGAATTCCTCTTGTGGCCTATAGGTGGATCGGTAATTCAATTTACGTGGCTATCGATAACCTTATGCACGAGAAAAGTATACAAAAGCTGATGATGAAATTTCACCAACCATGTTTATCAATTGACACCCCAATTAAAGAAGCAATCAATTCTCACGAATTTTTGGAATTTCACATGCCATCATATTTTAAAGATGAGTCAAACATATATGATGTAGCAGCGTTCAAAGTTTCCCGCAGTAGTTGCTGTAAACATTTAAATAGCTCGAATTTCCGCACTTGTATAAGCAACTTTTGCGCTTTTGTCCTAATCTCTACCAGATAAAATGACTCGCGTCATCGAGAGCAGTCACGTCATCGCTGATTTATGCATTGTTCCGATTGGTACTGAAGTCAATACGTCCAAGGTAATTAGTCCTCCTACGTCCAGTTTATCGGCTTACCGCAAGTGTGAAATCGGAATTCCTTCTTTTCAATTATTAGTACATTGTCGAGGTTCAAAAGATTCTTCAAGAGGCCGGGTAAGTAATAAAAAAAAAAAGATTGAATCTTTTCTGGAACTTCACCTCAAACGTTAATTTATCCTCTTTATAAGGTTGCACCCTAATTTGCACGCTTGCGGCACCAACGTTGGTCTGTTGATAGAGATTCGTTTTAATTACATTTTCTTTATTCGTCCAATACTCGTTGATCAACCATATGCATCTTCTAGAGGGTAAGTTCGACCAGATTGTGGAGGCGGTCCGAAAATGCGTTGACAAGTTTCATGAACTTGGTGCCCCTCGTGTCGATACCAAGATTAACTTTCAGGTAAAAAAAAAAAAAAAAACAAAAAAAACCTCACGACTCCTGAAATTATATCAGGTCTTCCAAAGCGATAACAATAATGAATGTCTATTTAGACACGTACCGACAAGTCTACCACTATTGAAGACAGGTTTGGACATTGAATTCATAAATTTCCGGGGGTCGCTAACGTTATTATTAATTCTCCTCCATTCGATTCATACTCAACCAGCGTCCGTATGGTGAAAGAAGCCTGTAGCAAGTAAACGCAAACTGTTTTCGCTGTCACTCTCATGTCAAATGTTGATAGAATTACATTATAATCTTAATCTTAATGGAAAATCAATACTTATCGAATAAAGTAGCATAGTAACTCATTTGCAATGGTAAATAAATATTCCATTATTCATTTTCTTTTTTTTTTTTTTAAAAAAAAAAACGAATTTATATTTATTAAAATTATGTTATATTTCAATTATAACAACTTTAATAAAACATATACGTATATTAATATGGTTTTTTCGAAGGTGAAGGTGTTAATAGACTGGTTAGATGTGATGATAATCCTCCGATTATACACAAAAAAGATATTTTTTTTAAAACAATTTAAAAAATATCTTCAAAAGTTATTACTACACTTTCCTTCTATAGCACTTCATGATCAAGTATCAAATATTGAATATTAAAAAATTTACTTTAAAATAATGGTATGACTTTCAAGAAGTCTGAATTATAGGATTAAAGTAAAAATGTAATATTTTTTAAATATCGAATTAAAAAAATGTGAAAAAAGCACAAATGTAATTCAAAATTTATCAAGTAAAAATATTTTTAGTATAATATATAAATTTTTAGTTCAACCATATATAAATTCTTATATAGATCACTTATACATATTTTTTTGAGAAATAAAATTTACTTTAATAGAAACAAAATTCAAGAAATGTTATTAATTTAAAAATTTTAATGTTTCCTAGTAAAAAACATTTGATTTTTATTTTGTTTTCTCTTTTATAAACCTATCTTTAATTTAATATCATAAATATCTCCTAAATATTATTGAAAAAAAATATTATAATTATATATTATAATTAGTGATCACAACGGATTAAATCGGATCGGATTTTAACTAGATTTGATCTGATCGATTTTTATAAATATGAATCGGATATGGATTTGTTTCATTTTAAACCGATCCGATTCGATTTGAAACCTTAACTGTTTGATCTGATCCGAATTCAAATCTGAATCCGAATCTGAATCTAAAGTGAAATTGAATCCGTTTTAGATTCGATGCAAAAGCAACTTGAAACTGATTTGATACATTTTGAATCTGTTTCAAAGCATGTTCAACTATAGCTGCTTTAATTTAACTAAATTAAATTAAATAT